ATCTGTGTCAAACAGTGTCATTACCTCCGCCAAGGAGGTTATGTTTTTGCCGGGGTTTGTCTGTTTGTTTGTTTGTTTGTCTGTCTGTTAGCAACATAACTCAAAAAGTTATGGACCGATTTTGATGAAATTTTCAGGATTTGTTGGAAATGTGTAAAGGAAGAACTGATTTCATTTTGGGGGTGATCCGGAAGAAATCCTGGATTCTGGATCACTTTGAAATTTTAGTTAACATTGTGGTAAATGGGGCCAAAAATTTTGTTTCTCAATATCTCGGTTTATTATTGACCAAACCCCATGAAATTTGACTCAGGGATGGACAATGGGATCCTCTTTCATATTCCAAAGGCTGATCCGGATCTGATCCAGAAGACTGATTTTATCGCATTTATATAAAAAATGGGGGTAGTCCTTGGCGGAGGTCTGCGCTCTCTGAGTGCTTTTCTAGTTTATATTTAAGATGCTCTATATATACATATATATATATATATATTTATTTTTTTTATTTTTTATTCTCAAAATAGACTTAACTGTGTAACTTTCAGTGAAGGGTCTGCCATGTGCTTGTCTCCATGTAAATGTTATTACTTTGGCTGGAATGTTCCAAAGTATAGCATTGTTACCTATCTCTATGGTGACACGCAGGTTGTGTCACAAAGCCTCGTCACACTCACAGGGCAGGTCTGTGGAGAGGTGACCCCTCTCACAAAAGAAGAAAAATGCATGTTATTAAAGTTTTTCATGGGCAATAAAAACACCCGGAATAGAAATACTATAGACATGTTTAAAGCCATACTTGCGAACATTCCAGTGACAGGAGGTGATTAGAAAAGTTACATAGTGCGCCTGCCACTTTTAAATGAGCTTTTATAACATAGAGTTCTGCAGGTTCAGGTCTACACTCTAGGGTAATTACCTTTAATTGAGTTCTTTATCACTTTCTACAAGATTTAGTTATAGAGTCTCATTTTCAAGCAGGACAGAATTTTAAAGCAGACCTATTATGCATATGGTAAAGAACTTTTTAGAGCCTTGAATAGTTTTTATTTACACTCTTGAAGTTGTATTTAGAGTGATTCTTGCATGTTTGAGTAATCTTCTTCTTCTCCTGCTCTCTACTTACTTTGTTCTAGTTTTGTTTTTCTTAATCTGTGATAGCAATAGTAGTAGTAGAGAATTTGGCAGTGATTATAAAATATCCAAATGATAGCATAATGATCCACAGGTGTCATAGACTATAGATTATAACTTTATATCAGACTAAAGCACAATATGTCTCTTCTTTAATGCATTTGGTCATAAGTATAGGAAAATGTTGTAAGTTTGAGTGTAACATGATCTGAGCGTGTGATGAGGTCATGAGGGAGTCCTGCCAGAGCGTTCAGAGAGACCCACCCATGGGCCCAGGACCAGAGCAGAATAAAGCCTTTAGATACAGGGACAGAAGACAACAATGAGAGGACAGCTACATGTGGGTTTGTGTGTGGGTTTCACATCACAACAGCCTGTATCCCTGTACTGTTTCATAGAATGGCTTCACGTCAGGGTGCATTACACTCTATTAACACAAGAAATTCTTGGTCCACTAAAGACATGTCCTGCTGATCCATTAGCTGACTAAAAATGACAAACAAAAGCTCTCAAAACTATTATGTATCTCCATGTATATGACCCAAAGTGCACTCGCAAGACTAACAAGACTACAACTGCAGACGGAGGCCATGCAAAAATAACTAAAAACAGAAAAGTACTAAGAAACTGTGTATTTGCATAGTATTGTAATGATTCACTCCCAGATGTTCAGCTAGCTCACTCCACAACCTTTCCTCTTTGCTTTTGTACAAATAAATCAAATTTAAATCACAAATTTAAATAAGATAGTCAACTAATACTATTTTTGGTCAACCAAGATGTCATTGACCATTTAACTAAGGGACTATAGCCCTAGTTCTCGTGACACCACACTTTATAATAACTAGCCTTAATAAAGCATGAATAAAGTCTTAATTCTTAATAAACAAATGGTTTATTAAAAGGGACTTGTGTAAACTTAACCTTTTATGTGCTTTTAAACAATGTTATTATAATGTTCCCTGATTATTTCACTCAGGGTTGTAATGTGATGGCTCACAAAATTTCTGTTTTCACCTACCCCGTATTTGGCCACGGCTCTGTAATTACTAGTGATTAAACCAAAACTTCAGATTTGGGGCAGAGGGCAGAGAGGGGGCAAAGGGGTGGGCTAAACAAGCTGGTTATCGTTTTTATTTCATCACAGATAAACTTTTCACAATAACTTCAAAAGCTTCTGGTTTTATTACATCCCAAAGGACTTTATTGTTGTCAGTTGAAAGGACTTTAAGCCATAAGATGAATGTGACAAATGTGTGCTGTGCACCCAATCCCTAACAAAGAATCACCAGGTTCAAGTTATTTAGGTTAGACAGGCCCCTGCCCAGCTTTCCATCTGTGGTCTTTTATAACTGGATACTTTTACTTCTTAAATAAATACACATATTTTTGACATGTTCAAGTTAATTTTGTTGACTCTCTACGTTTCATTTTTTTGGTGCTTCACTTGTGTTGGTTTGGCCCTGTTTTAGTACTAATGTAGATTTGGTTTAGTCCTAGTTACCTCTGCCAAGGAGGTTATGTTTTTGCCAGCGTTTGTTTGTTTGTTTGTTTGTCTTTTAGCAACATAACTCAAAAAGTTATGGACCGATTTTGATGAAATTTTCAGGATTTGTTGGAAATGTGAAAAGGAAGAACTGATTTCATTTTGGGGGTGATCCGGAAGAAATCCTGGATTCTGGATCACTTTGAAATTTTAGTTAACATTGTAGTAAATGGGGCCAAAAATTTTGTTTCTCAATATCTCAGTTAATTATTGACCAAACCCCATGAAATTTGACTCAGGGATGGACAATGGGATCCTCTTTCATATTCCAAAGGCTGATCCAGATCTGATCCAGAAGACTGATTTTATCGCAATTTATATAAAAAATGGGGGTAGTCCTTGGAGGAGGTCTGCGCTCTCTGAGTGCTTTTCTAGTCTTAATCTTGGTTCAGTCCCGGTCTCGTCCCAGTCTAGTCCTGGTCTAGTCTTGGTTCAGTCCTGATCTAGTCTTGGTTCAGTCCTGATCTAGTCTTGGTTCAGTCCTGATCTAATCTTGGTTCAGTCCTGATCTAATCTTGGTCTAGTCTTGGTCTAGTTTTGGTTCAATCTTGGTCTAGTCCTGGTCTAGTCGTGGTCTAATCCTGGTCTAGTCCTGGTCTAGTCTTGGCGATCTAGTCGTGACCTAGTTCTGGTCTGGTCTTGCTTCAGTGCTGGTCTTGTCCTGGTCTAGTCCCAGTTTTGATGTGGTGATTGTGCCCTGTGAACGCACCCTTAATGCATGAATAATGAATAAAGTAGTGAGCTCTCTTGACACCAGACAAAGCCCATCTGGAGCAGAGCAGAACATAATACTGGGCCCTCCCTGAGTCTGTGACAGCTGTAGTCAAACTGGGCCTCAGATTAATATAAGTGACATATGGACACAACTTTTGGGTTAATCCTCAGTGTTCAGTCTCAAAATGATGACTCTTCACTTTTTAAATGACCTATATTCTCTGTGGCATTTAGCTGTCACAATGGTTTCTTTGTCATAAAATATACCTGGAGTTTTGTTTCATTCATGTATGTTTGAGTTATGTTTGTATCTAATCCTTCTAATTTGTGATGTCATTAGGTGATAATCCAGGCAATGATCATCTGGTTTTGCTACTTATATATACTGTATACTATTACTGTTGAAACTTGTAAACTTATGGGATATCAATGTCAAGGTTTCCAAAAAGCAGTTGAAAGCCTAAAGAGATGAGACTTTAAAACTGTGGTATGTAACTTCTGGTGAAGCGTCCGCCACGTTCTGATGGAGATTTTATTGCTTTGTCTGGAATGTTCCACAGTATGGCATTGAAATTACCTGTGTAAGGTTATGTTTACACTGAAACGAATCACTGTATCACCGCATCGCTGTATCACAATATCACCATATCACCTTATTGGAAACGATTTGCATCCAGACACGTTGTTTCTGTGTCCGCAATCAAAGCCTTCCCTGTCCACACAGTAATGCGAAACCGCCTGAAGTGCTAGTCAAATGACTAGGCTGGCGTCATGTTGTCACAACGTCACGTGAGTGGTAAAAACAAGGAAGTGGAGCACCGTGTCTGAAGTTGCTGCAGCTGATTTCGAGCCGAGGAAGATGTCAAGCGTGAAAATGGTCTTTTCTACTAGCAAGTAGTTCTAGCTCTGCTGTTTCCCATTTGTCTATGGTTTGTTTAAACTGTTTTCTGCAATAGCATTACATGACCGATGTCACGAACCCAGCAAAGGCGCAAGTCACAGTGACGTGGTCTAATAAGGACAGCAACTAGAGCTCCTACGTCAGCGTATCAGCGTTTTCAGGCGCTCACACAGTGCCGGATCAGATCCGTACTCAGCTGAATTCGTGGGAGCTGGAGGAAAACAACTCGAATACGTACTAGTGTGGATGGGGCCTAAGTGTTTTTCTAGTTTTTAAAAAAAATCAAGCATTCTTATTATCTATGTATGTAAAGAAAAGCATGAAATGTGCCTTAAAGTGGGACTTAACACCTAAACACTGCACACAACTTTATTTCATATAGAGCTGCTGAACTGGCCAATACCTGGAGAGGCGGGGTCTGGGAGGATAAGGAATTGGTTGGGATCCTGTGATTGGCCTAATGGGTATCCACACTTCAAACTGTGCCCCTGTAGCCCAGTTCTAGTAATCAGAAACCCCTGGTTGTTATCAGAACAGTCATGCGTGATGTCACCTAGTACTTGACATTGCCCTAAAATCGCCAAAAAAGTACTAACTGTACACAATGATATTAAAGAGCATACACACAGTTTAGTAGCAGTTGCTTTAAACTTGGGAAAGGTTTTTAAGGAGACTGACTTGATGGTTCCTCTTTGTCTTTTCTTTCAGTCGTCCGTCGCCCAAATGGACCTGAGATAACGCCCGTGCTCCCTGCCCTCCTCCTGCTTTTCTACCCCACCCCTCTTCCCCCCCTCAGCCCTCTCTCCCTTCTGCCCCACTCTCTCTCTCTCCCTCCTCTTTAGCCCCTTCCCCTCACCTGGCACAATGTCCGACACGGGCTCCGGCTCCGAGGGTCTGGGGCCGCCCGCGGTGGTGGACTGCAGCCTGGAAATCGAGAGGAAGTATGACGTCATCCCGGCCGTCATCTGCTCCATGTGCTGCCTGTTTGGGATCATCTACTGCTTCTTTGGTGAGGACCCATGGAGTGTCAGACACAGGCCTTGGCTTCATTACGTATTCATGTGATGACGGAATATGGAAAAAATCTGTCAAATTTAGGCCTCTCACGTTATCAAATGGAGCACAACAGTGACTGTCTATCCCCCGCTTCTGGAAGTAAATTTCTCATTCATTTCCCCATAGACTTTCTGAATGCCATTATGCCACTGAACACAAAATCAATTCTGTACAGCACTGTTAATGGACATGAGCGGCAATACATAAAACACTTAGTCATAGAAGTGATTTATTCATCCTCAACAGCTCATATCTCCAGACATGTAAAAAAAAAAAAAAAAAAGTTCCTCACTAGTACAAAGAAAATGTACCACAATTAATATTGACCCCCAAACTTATTGTTAATTAGAAGTTAATAGTTAATAGTTATAGAGTTAATAGTTAATAAAAAGTTAATAGAGTAATTATCATGACAGGCCTATTCAAATTCATAGAGAAAAATCCCTCACACCGTCTTACTTGCAAATTATGAGATTTATTAGGACAAACTGTGCAACGTTTCTGCACTAGGCCTTCATCGAGCAGGATTATTCTCTTGGACTGCTCCCTCTCCTCCAACGCACCCGTCTCAAGTAATTGATGTGCAAAGTCCTCAGCCTTTTAGGCCTAGTAAAATTATAGTCGCCCATTTTGGTTTATTTTAAATGCCACTTTTCTAGTGGAGGGTCTGCTACCTGCTTGGTTATGTAGATATTTTATTGCTTTGCCTGGAATATTCCATAGAATGCCATTATATTTTCAGTCAATTTTATTTATTCATTTACAAGTGTTTTTATTGCTCAAAAAGGCCTTGAACATCATTCTTAAGTGTGGTCGCCTTTCCACAAATCTGACCTTTAACTTGGCCTGGCATCACTTCCTTGTCTCTATGGAGATAGATATAGATCCACCTTGTATTTATTAAAATACAACTTTTTAAATTGTAGGCAAAGCAATAACATCTCCATGGAAACAACCAGGTGGGAGATCCTACTTCTGAAAAGTTAGAATGCACCTTTGACACTACATGAGACACAGGAGATTTAATTCTGTGCTGTGGACAGTACATTATCTAAATAATTGGTGCCTTTGTAATAGTGACAGTTGAAATAGTGATGAATGTTGCAGGTCTGACCTTATGACTTGTTCACGATGACATAATCACACATGGAGACAGAGGAGGTGTAAACTTCACTGGAGTTTAGTTTAACTTACAGCACAGAGACTGAAGACATCTGGAGCTGTTCAGGAGAATGAGCTCACAGTTTACTGACGTGTGATTGGTCAAACACAAACATGTGACTCATGAGTTTTAAAGTTTAACTGTTGCCGTCAGAACAGCCTCAGCTTCTCTAGTGTCATCTTATTTTCTCTTCCTGCGGACGTGCTGGACTGTAGTGCTGCTCTTAAGCAAAACATGTAAAGTCAATTTGAATAAAAATCTACAGAATTCATACTTGGTGCTGATTGGATGTAGGCTCACATGTGATTGCAAAGGGAATTAGATAAATAGAATCAGCAACAATTCACTGATGCATCTAACACAGCTGCATTCAGTTCAGGTTGAAATTTAAGATGTTTTGTAACTGATTTGATGCCTTTTTGCAACTGGTGATATACACAACCGGTCAAAAGTTTTAAAACATCACACTTTTTCCAGTTTCCTGTTGACCAAAACGTATTCTAAACTTCTGATTCATGAAAGTGTCCACCTTTGGCAGATGTAACAGCTGAACGCACTTGTGGCTCTTCTTCAGAAAGTTCTTCCCAAGTCTGTTGCAGAAGTTCCCATAAATGTGCGGCACTTGTAGGTTGCTTCATTCTTCTGTCCAGTTCATCCCAAAACCAGATCGATGGGGTTTAAGTCTGGACACTATGCTGCTGGACACTCCATGTTTTCAAGTTTAGCATCTTGTTCTTTTTTCCTGAGGTAGTTTTGGCAGAGCTTGAACTTGTGTTTTGTATCTTTTATGTTTTTCTACCCTCTGTCTGTTCAGTTCTTACCTTTGCACCATTTCAAGCTCTTCATTGGACTTGCACAACTTGAATTGCATTAAATAACTGGAAAAATTAGGGTGTTCTAAAACATTTGACCGGTAGTGTATATGCAAAATTATAATATCACAAGTTGAGGCTCTGGGGAAGACCCAGGACACGCTGGAGGGACTGTATGTCTCAGCTGGCCTGGGAACGCCTTGGGATCCCCCCCAGAAGAGCTGAAGGAAGTGTGTGTGGAAAGGGAAGTCTGGGCCTCCTTGCTCAGACTGCTGCCTCTGCAACTTGGAGTGGAAGAAAATAGCACGTGTGAATGAGGGTCACTGTTCTGTGTTCTGACATTTTGTGCCCTGCAATTTTCTGGGAACTGTGTGAGTTGTCTATAGTAGTCTCCCTCTCCCTCACCTCTCCTCTCTCTCTGTGCAGGGTACCGGTGTTTCAAGGCCGTCATGTTCCTGTCAGGCCTGATCTTCGGGTCAGTCATCATCTTCCTCTTGTGCCATAAGGAGCATGTCCTGGACACTCAGCTGAGTGTGGAGGCCAGTGCGGGCATCGGCCTGGGCATCGGGCTGCTCTGTGGCCTCGTCACTATGATGGTGAGGAGCGTGGGCTTGTTCATGACCGGCCTCCTGCTCGGGCTTCTTCTCGCCCTCGCCGGCTTGCTGGTCACAGAGCAGTTCTACACCCCCACTACCGTCTGGGTGCCTCTGGGGGCGCTGTTGGGCTCGGGGATGTTGTTCGCGGTGCTCACTCTCCAGTGGCAGAAGGCGTTCACCATGTTGTCCACGGCAGTGTTTGGAGCGGCCATCATGACGATCTGTGCAGATTACTTTGTGGAAATGTTGGTTCTGGGCACATATGTGTATGAGTGTCTGCGTCTGTCTCCCCGCACCCCGCTCTGCTGGTACAGCTGGGTGATCCTGGGCATGTGGCCCACCCTCAGCCTCATCGGGGTCCTGGTGCAGTGGAAGCTCACGGACGACAGCTTCTCTCACACTGAAGGTCAGGGAATGCACTTAACACAAGGAATGAAAGAACATTCCATTAAACAAAAGCAAGTTTTTCATATTTCTATATTATACATTATATCTCATAGATATAACATTTGAATATATGGTACACTGCCTAACTTTTCTAGTTTGCCACCTACTTGTGTCCATTATTTAATGTTTTTGTTGTGATTGTTGTTCTCCTTTTTGAACTACAGCTTCTCAAAAGGTGTAGCTCACTACCTCTTAACCCCCTTTGTCCACATATATACACATGAAAAAAAATATCACAAGATCATCATCTTTTGACACCAGTTGTCCCATTCCCTTTAAGAATGCATGTTTTTTCAGGGTATCTTTGGTCAATAAAAACTCCTATAATTAAATAAACGCTAGATAGGTCTTATAATCATCAGAAAAGTTACACAGTGCACCTTTTAAATGTGATTCAAATGTTCCTCTCTGTCTCCACAGTGGTGCTGAGCCGCAGACAGAAGCGTGTGCAGCTCATGAGGATCCGAGAGAAAGATGCTAAAAAGCACCAGCAGGGGGCAGCACAGGAGGGCACCTACCGCCGCAAAGCTACACCTGTCAAACGCTACGCAGGGGACCTCCTCGCTCCGGTCAGTACAAACACAGGGACTGTCCAAACCCACAAAAAGAGCAGAGGTTTTTTGTCCTGCTGTAGTCACCACTATAGATACATATCCTTAAAGTCTGTTAGAGATTTTATGACTGTAATATTGAAGCTGTTTCCTATTTTGTTTCTCCAGAGTTACCTGCAGAGTCTGAGGGACAGGCAAATGGGCACTGGGACGTCTCTGAGCAGCATGGGCACCTCCAACCACACCATGATCGACCTGGACTACGACACTGGCTCTACTGCCCCCCTCACAGCTACAACCCCTGTGGTCAGAGTGTGAACTGCACCTCCAACCAAACCATGATCGACCTGGACTACGACAACGACTCTGCTGCCCTTTCACCGCTACGACCCCTGTGGTGAATGTAAGAACTGCAGCTGCACCATGATCGAGGTGGACTGCAACACCTGCTTCACCACCCTCCTCACAACCACTCCCCTGGTGGTCAGAGTGTGAACTGCACCTCCAAACACAGACCAGATATTCTCCTGAGTTTAACTTTCCATCCATTTAAATTTAAGAGTAGTAATTCAGAAGTTTTTGCTTTTTTCAATGGAAGATGACTGCAGAATGACTGGACTATTTTGTGTTAAGAAAGGTCAAATAACCACTGATACAAGGATGTTTTGATGATGATTCAAAACTATGAGACTGAAATACACTGCCCCTAGTGATCTCAGCTCCACAACGCACAACTATTTCTGTTCAATAATATGTTACTTATAGAAGCTCAAAGAAGAACATTTTTTTTTTTTTTAAATCTCCATTGAGTAAGTATGGGAGCAAACTTGAGTTGAAGAGGACCATGCTCTGAAAAATTGTAATTGCTGCAATTTTTTAAACCACTACGTTGGGTTATTCTGTGGAAGAAGTTTTGGTTGCTTTTTTTATACTAAGTTCCCTTTACATTTTGCAGTAAAGCACAAGATGGCGACAGTTAGTTTTTGTTATGCAAGTAAAAGTACAAATACAGGGGCAAAACTATTAAGTAAAAGTATCACATAAAACACTACTTAAAAGCAAAGTAGTAGTAAAAGTATTGAAGTACAGTGTTGTATAAATAGGTTAAAATGCTCTCAGCAAAAAGGCGATATACTTTTTAACTTTAAAGGTGCATTAAAAAACACCAGAAAGTTCCGTAGTGCATCATTAAAATATCCAGGTCGAGCCTCTTGAGTCGCTTCATAGTTAAACCACAACCTTAAAATAACAAGGTCCTCCATTTCTTGTTAATATGTATTCATTCAATACATAACAGCTGAGCCTTAAAGGTGAACTATGTAACTTTTCAGGTCCACCTTCTACTCGTCTCCATGGATACCGTAGCCCAGTATGTCCCACTATATCGATTCATCTTGCATTTATTTAATTACATCTGTTTTTATTGTTAAAGAAATACCTTGAAAGCATTAACATCTCCATGGAGACGAGCAGACTGCATACCCCCCAGTAGAAAAGTTCCGTAGTGCACCTTTAGTTTAGTGTTTTTGTTGGTGATATTGAGTTTGTCTTGAAAATCTCTTTGTTTGATGCTTTTCTAAGTCTTATTGGTTTAACTGTGTGCTTGTCATTCAAATACATGTGTGAATTTTGCATGTGAGTTACGTTTAGGCATAGATTTGTTCTTAAAAATGCAAAAATAGTAACAAAAATGAAGAGTTAGCTAGTACCAATTGCAGTAGCGTGTGTGTTCTAAATATATTTTAATTTAATTTATGTAACGAGCAAATACAAGGTAGTGACGGAGCATGTTTTTTTTGTAGATTTACTGTTTAATTTTGTTTCTGATATTTTTAATTTACAGGAGCAGTGCACTTGTTGCCCAACTTTGTACATATGTGGATAGAAATTTCTAAAAATAAAAAGTGTTTGATACAAATATTTCAGAGTGGACTTGGATTTTGGAAAACTGAAGTGAATGCAAACTAAAACGCCATCTAAGAAATTGACCCTATCTCACAATGGTCCTTCATTTCATTTTGCACATCAGGAAGTGAATAGGGATGTCATAGTGAGTGAATTAATACTAAATGTCAAATTCTACAAGCCTGCAATTATAGTTGACCCTATTTCACAATATTTATTTATTTATTTATTTTACTAAAAATTACATCAAACTCACACTTCTGGAGTATTAATGGGCCTATCTTCCAAATAGAAAGAACGTGGTCATTATGGCAAACCTCATATTCAATATTTTTTTAGTAACCCATGTCTTACATTAACATTGAAGAATTGGACTACACTGTAATTTTAAGTGTTTAAATCAGGAGTGTCAAACTTCAGACAAAAGATTCAAAATTAAAAACTGGGACTAATTCGTGGGCCAAACTAAATATTTATTGAAAATTTTCAACAACACCTGCATGTTTTCTCTTCTTTCGAGATATGTAATGTTAAGCCTTTTCTTATTAAAATAAATGTTTAATAAAAGTTTTGCTTAAACATTAAATCAACAACAAGCATCATATAAAATAATAACATTTTAAATAAATAATGTCTCTATAGTCTATCTGTAGCTGGTGGGCAGCTCTAATACATATTTGATATATTTGATCTCCCGGGCCAAATATAATTATAATCGTGGGCCAAATTTGGTTCCCGGGCCTGAGTTTGACATGTCTGGTTTAAGTGGTAAAAATACTATGTTCAAAATTTCCACAAAAAAGATTTGCCATGTTAAAACGGGAAGTAACAGTAGCCAAAATATTGTGTTATTATATCGTCAAAGGTCTCACAGTAATATCATGGACCATCACAATATATATCGAATTACAAGTCTCTTTGCTTAAATGGTTAGTTTAATTAGTTTTGGAATTCAGCAATTCCACCTTGAGATGTCAGCAAGCAGTAGTTTTCAAGTTTTCAGCTAGCTTTTACCTTTTGTTCAACAGAGATGAGCAATTCCAGGACTGAAATCGTCCAAATGATTCTAGTGAAGGTGTATGGAGTTTAAAAACACAGTGGATCACTTCCTTCCTGTATTACCACATGACATCATGAGGTGGAACAGAGTGTTTCCTGTTTGAGAGAAGAACTCAGTCTAAATATGGAGGGTTTGCGTGCTAAACATGTGGGACTGAAACAAAAGACGACTCCAGGTGTGTTGGAGTTGTGATGAGAAAACAACATGATAACATAGATCAGAAACTAGTGCAACACGAGATCTTTAACTATTGAGAATGTTAGGTGTAGGTGAATCCAGGTAGCGGTAGATTTTTTCACATCATAGATAGATGTCTCTGGGGAAGAAAAGTTCTTTACATAGATCCATTTGTATTCTGATCAAAAATGAAGTGACTTAACACCAGTCCCAAACCTTTTACATTTTTCACCTCATGTCCCCCACAGCAATGAGGTCATGGGTGGGATTTCCTCCTCATTTCCATGGCGATATTAATGTCAACAAACAGAGCCTGGGGTTATGTCACAATACTGCATATTTCTGTATCAGTTTAGCCTCAAACGCTAACAAGCTTACTCCATCATAACCACAGAACATGAAGCCATAGGAAAAAGTGATGGATGCTGATGTCTAGTCAGATTATCTCGGCTGTCCTTTACACTCTGCAATTCAATTCTATGGTTAATTTAGTTTGCACAATACTGGGGGAGTGCAAATGTCTTTTCCATCGCTACCAATTGAATCTGACGTGTGGTATGCAAACTTCAAAGTCACGTGCAGTCTAGTCCTGGTTTAGTCCTGATTCTTTTCCCTCTTTGAAAGATGGTTTGGTTTAGTCTTGGTTTACAACTGGTTTTGACCTTGCTTATGAACTGCAGCTTAATCCTGGTTTAGTCCTGGTGTAGTTCTGGTTAAGTTCTGCTTTAGGCCTGGTTTAGTACTGTTGTAGTACTGTTGTAGTCCTGGTTTAGTCCCTGTTGAGTCATGCAGTGTTATCCTGGTTTAGTCCTGGTTTAGTCTGGTTTAGTCCCAATATAGTCCAGGTTTAGTTCTGGTTTACTCCTGGGTTAGCCCTTGTTACATTCTGTGGTTTAGTCCTGGTTTAGGTCTCGTTTAGTTCTAGTTCAGCCCTTATTACGTTCTGTGCTTTAGTCCTAGTGTGATCCGGGTTTAGTCCTGGTTTAGTCCTTACATAGTCCTGGTTTAGTCCTGTTGTGGTCCTAGTTTTGTCCTGGTTTAGCCCATGTTACATTCTGTGGTTTAGTCCTGGCATAGTTCTGGTGTAGTTCTGGTTTAGTCCTGGTTTTGCCCTTATTACGTTCTGTGCTTTAGTCCTGGTTTAGTCCTGGTTTAGTGCTGGTGTAGTCTTTGTTGAGTCATTCAGTGTCATCCTGGTTTAGTCCTGATATAGTACTGGTTTAGTCCTGGTTTAGTTCTGGTTTACTCCTGGCTTAGCCCTTGTTAAATTCTGTAGTTTAGCCCTGATTTAGTCCTGGTTTAGGTCTGGTTTAGTTCTGGTTCAGCCCTTATTACTTTCTGTGCTTTAGCCCTGGTGTGGTCCTGGTTTAGTGCTGTTGTAGTCCTAGTTTAGTCCTGGTTTAGCCCTTATTACGTTCTGTGCTTTAGTCCTGGTTTAGTGCTGGTTTAGTCTTTGTTGAGTCAAGCAGTGTCATCCTGGTTAAGTCCTGATATAGTCCTGGTTTAGTAGCCCTGGTTTAGCCCTTGTTATATTCTGTGGTTTGGTCCTGGTGTAATCCTGGTTTAGTTCTGGTATAGTCCTGGTTTAGTCTTTGTTGGGTCATGCAGTGTCTTCCTGGTTTAGTTCTGGTGTAGTTCTGGTTTAGTCTGATTTAGTCCTGGTTTAGTTTAGTCCCTGTTGAGTCATGCAGTGTCATCCTGGTGTAGTCCTGGTGTAGTCCTGGTGTAGTCCCGGTGTAGTCCTGGTTTAGTCCTGTCTTAGCTCTTGTTATATTCTATGGTTTAGTCCTGGTGTAGTCCTGGTTTAGTCCTTGTTGAGTCATGCAGTGTCATCCTGGTTTAGTCCTGGATTAACCCTTATTACATTTTGTGGTTTAGTCCTGGCGTAGTCTTCATTTAGTTCTGGTTTAGTCCTGGCTTAGCCCTTGTTACATTCTGTAGTTTTATCGTGGTTTAGTCCTGGTTTAGTCCTGGTTTAGTTCTGGTTTAGCCCTAATTACATTCTGTGGTTTAGTCCTTATTTAGTTCTGGTTTACTCTTAAATTAGTCCTTGTTACATTTTGGTTAGTGCTGGTTTAGTCCTTGTTGAGTCATGCAGTGTCATCCTGGTTTAGTTTTGATGTAGTCCTGCTTTAGTCCTGTTTTAATCCTGGTTTTGATTTACAACTGGTGTTAATCTTGATTTACAACTGGTTTGTCCTGATGTAGTCCTGATTTAGTTGGTTTTAGTCCAAGTGTGAACGCAGCCTTTTCGCTGAATGCTTTACCATATGTTTGGAAGAGTGAATCATATCTTTATTGTTTGGGTGGAACATTATTTTATCAACATCAATGCAACCTTCCCTTTAAGACACTCCATTACATTTCACCAAAGGAATTAGCACCGATAATTAAAGACACGTGTCACTGAAGAGAAATGGATAATTTCACAAACAAAATGCAAAACAAAACAATAGATCAACATTTGCTCAACATTTGGAAGTCAAGTAAGGTCAAGTAACATCTGCTTTTTAATATGAAGTTATACAGATTTAAAGGACAAAATCTTAAACATATGAACATAAAAACCTCATATTTTCAAAAGCTGGAACACTAATCTAATCTGAAGGAGCGGTGCAAGAAACACAAATGTTCAAATCATTTCATATTGTCACTGTAAAGCTTTTGTCATTTGTAGACCAACTCACAGTAAGAAGAATAACCAAAACTTTTACTCAAGTAAGAGTACTGTTAAACTGTGCAATATTTTACTACTCTGACAAGTACAAATTCTTTAAAAAGTAACTCAAGTAAATGACTGACTGTAATCTACTCCACACTCTCTTCACCCGGACACATGACGTACACCTTTTCTAAAGCAAGATGCAAATGTTTGTCACTCATTAACCATCGAGACCTGCTGAAACGTGTTCAAACTGAAGCTTATCCTTATGCAAAACAAACTAAACATTATTATCATTTGTACTTCCCAACAGTCATGTTTGCAGGTTTTTAATTAAATGCCGTTGTAATGAAACAGACACCTAAGACAAATCGGAGTAGATGCCCCAAAGTGTTGATCAAATTTCAAAGCAGTTCAATGAGGTTCAGGTTCAAGTCTTCCAATAATTTATTCTAACTTTTTTTTTTTTTTTCCTAGAATTTAGTTTGTTTTTATACCTGTTTCAGTCACTCACGTACAGCCTTCCCTTCCTTAGAGTAGACAATACACCAAGACAAGGGTTTTTTTTACTCTCACACACCTGGGATACTGTTGGACTTTTCCACTTTTAGGAAGATAACCTCAAAAACCTGTGTGCGTCAGCTGAGTAAACACGTCTCTGTAACAATATTTGACAACTAATATACTAATATAAAATACCTTTATTTAGTTGAAATCCCTAGTGTGATGTCATCAAATACAGAGCTCTCTAAAATAGAACTCTCTACTTCAGGGATCTTCACCATGTAGCTCGGGATCTACCTGTATCTCTCCACCCCATTCCAAGTAGCTCACCAAAGGATTTCTGAATTAAATGTACTGCGCTTAATAACTGAAGTCTGATTAATTACCTTTGTAAATGTATCTGTATTGATACCTAAATTGTGCACTAATAAATGAATAATGGTTTATGTACCCTGTCCAAAGCATGCCATAGCTCTTCTTGTTTCTCAATTTCTTGTGGCAACTAAAATAAGCAGCTCTCTGGCATTTTTGTTTCCTGAAGGTAGCTCATCAGAGGTAAAAGTTTGGAGACTCCTACTCTACTTAATATAACTGTGAACATATTTTTAAACTTTTCTTCACAAATTGCTTCTTGGCTGATGTAAAAATAGAACTGATATTGACAATTAACTAAGTCAAAATGAGTCAGAATCATCAAAATTTGCTACACTACAACCCAGTAAGTGTGGGAGCATAGAGCTGACATAGATTCATCCAGCAGCCCTATTTTTGCACAATTATGAACCAAAACTAACCCAGGGCTTTTCTCTTTGTACTCTCAAGATTGAATCAGGACCGCACATCTCAGCTACTAATTTATACTTTGATTTAAAACAAACAAAACACATGAGCTCAGTTGTCCCTAATAATATGTCCACCAAACGCATGTCCAGGCAAGTCCCTTTGGTCACTGCTGCTTTTGTGGCTTGTGTAGTCTTATTGCCATTTCATAAAACAGTCTACAGCGCCCTCATGCGGTGAAAGTCTAGCACCGCATCCACCTCTCTCTTTTGCTGAGCGGATAGCCTCGGTCCACTCGCAGCATTTCGTTCACTCGCCAGTAGGAGTCGCCCTTGAAGAAGAAGATTTTGCCGTTGGTCCACGTGAAGGCTGCGTCTGGGTTGGGTGGGACTCCAGAAATGAGCATGGACAGAAGTTTGGGGTACATGCTCATGTCGTTGTACTTCAGCTCGTCCCACTGCCAGTGATTAGAGCCCTGAGAAAAATACTTGAATTACTTTGAAGGGTAGTAGTAGTTGTTGCAGGAGTAGTAGCAGTTCTATTTGTAGTAATAGTAATAGTAGTAGTTGCAGTTGTAGTAATAATGGCAGTAGTAGTAGCAGTTGGAGTAGTAGTAGTTGTTGTAGTTGTACTAGCAGTTCTACTTGTAGTAATGTTACGGCCCCAGGCCTTAGTTCTAATATTTCTGCAGAGTTCTCTTGATTCCTGCTGCACGAGCCCTGGTCTGTGATTGGTGGGGCAAGTCCACGCCCACTTCACCTGCAGCCACCTCCCCCTATTTAAGGAGATTGCCAGCACCTGTTCGGGGCTGCTGGCCTTGGTGGCCCGTGTGCCATATTGTTTTGTGTGTGTGTGTAGTTTTAGTTTTGTACTTTTTTTTTGATTTGGTCACTTGATTCTGTTTGTGGGCTTATGTGGTTTAATTTGGGGAACTTGTGTTTTAGTTTAGTGTGTGTCCCTAAGTTTTACCACTCGTTTTTGTGTAAGCCTGCGTGACCCCTTTTCTGGCACACAACTCTGTTTATTCTGTATTCCCAAACGAGCTGGGTTGTAACAAGTAATAATAGCAGCAGTTGTAGTAGTAGTAGCAGTAGCAGTTGTAGTAGTAGTAGTAGCAGTAGCAGTAGTTGTAGTAATGGTAGCAGTTCTACTTGTAGTAATAATAGCAGTAGTAGTAGCAACTGTAGTCGTAGTAGTAGTAGTTCTTTTTGTAGTAGTAGCAGTTCTACTTCTACTGCCAGTAGTAGTAGTAGTAGTAGTAGTAGTAGTGGTGGTGTTGGTGTTGTTGCAGTTCTACTTGTAGTAATAATTGCAGTACTAGTAGAAGTTGTTGTTTTTGTTGTCGTTGTAGTAGTAGCATTTCTACTTGTAGTAATAGTAATAGTAGTAGTAGCAGTTGTAATAATGGCAGTAGTAGTAGCAGTTGAAGTAGTAGTAGTAGTAGTTGTTGTTGTAGCAGTTCTACTTGTAGTAATAATAGCAGCAGTAGTAGCAGTTGTAGTAGTAGTAGCAGTAGTAGCAGTTGTAGTAGTAGTAGCAGTAGCAGTAGTTGTAGTAATGGTAGCAGTTCTACTTGTAGTAATAATAGCAGTAATAGCAGCAACTGTAGTCATAGTAGTAGTAATTCTTGTTGTAGTAGTAGCAGTTCTATTTCTAGTGCTAGTGTTGTAGTAATAGTAGTAGTAGTAGTTGTTGTTGTAGTAATAGTAGTAGTAATAGTATAGTAGTAGTAGTAGTAGTAGTAGTAGTAGTAGTAGTACTAGTAGTAGTAGTAGTAGTTGTTGTTGTTGTTGTTGTTGTAGTAGCAGTTGTAGTAGCAGTTGTAGTAATAATAGCAGTAGCAGTTCATAAAATTGAACTGGATAGTAGTAGCAGGCCTATTGTAGTACTTTGTCTTAGTATTCAGAGTGATACCCCAAAATACCCACCTCTTTATTCTGTCATTCCCAGTCTCTCATCACAAATGTATCATATTTAAATCACTGTACTTCTGTAATTATTACCAACACTAAAACATACGACTTTATGTTTTCTCGTAATATTATATGTAGTACTATTGGTAATATGACACATTTCTTACTTTGATAAATACGAGTTTCTTGTTCTTCTCGAGGTAAAGCGCTGCATCGATGTTGGCAGGGATCTTCTTCACTGGTTTGGGGTACCCATAATCCAACAGGAAGTTTGTGTATCTCCAAACTGTATTACCTGTAATGAAAAAATAACACACATTGAAATAGTCCAGTGGTACACGTACTACTGATGGTATGCAAGCTTTTTTTGTAGCACTTAAACATTTATTCAATTTTACTGTTATTTTGTATCTATGTTGTAATGTTTCCTCATCACAAACAGACCTGGAGTTGTGTGTTTTGTTTCATTCACACATGTTTAACACACAAATCTCCCTCTCAAACTAAAAAAACTCCATTCCACCTTGTGATGTCATGTGGTAATACAGGAAATGCTCCACTGTGTTTTTAAACTCCATACACCTTCACTAGAATCATTTGGATTTCAGAGCTGGAATGGTGTCTACTGAACAAAAAATTAAAGGAATTTGAAAACTACTGCTTCATGACATCACAATGTGGAACAGAGCATTTTGAGCTTTGGAGACAGACAGATTAATAATGCAGAATTTCTCAAAAATGAATGAAACAAACCACAACTCCAGTATGTTTTTGATGAGGTAACAATATTATAAATCATGAGGGAAATGTCAGAACAGGTGAGTTTTTAGTGATTTGAAGAGCTGCAATAAGTCCAAGTTTTTGTGCTTAGTCCTGAGGAGACAAGTGAGGAGATGTTTCAGTCTGATGAGAGGAGTGAGGAGGTGTTTCGGTCTGATGAGAGGAGTGAGGAGATGTTTCTTTGGAGTTTTTGGAGGTCGGTTTCAATAATAAAACTACTCCATCTCATTAGCTAACTGTAAAGTAAGTATTAACTATAAAGAACGTCACCTTTAAAGAAGTAGGTCTTGTTGGTTCGTTGCGAGTGCACAGCGGCGTTCAGGTTTCCGGGCAGCTCCTTCCACAGACGGTCAATCCTGATGGGAACATTGTGTCCGAAATCAGAGACGGTCCAAACATAATCTCCACTGAACGCAAAGGTCTTCCTCCACGGACCTGAGACAAGGAAAAAATGTTTAATGCCATACTGTGGGACATTCCAGCTAAAGCAACATTTTGTCCATGTAGATAAGCAGGTGGCAGACTCTTGAAAAGTTACATAGTGCCAGATGCAAACAAAACACATGTATTAACAACGTAATGAAGTCTTCACTCTGGTGTTATAATGTTGTTGCTGTGAGTTACCGAGCATGATGGCGTCCAGTCTGGCTGTGCAGGGGTCAGGGACGCGGCCGGAGCTCGGGGTGGGGGCAGAGTACATTGGAGGAGTGGGGCTGGACAGTGGACTGGGGATCCTCTTCCCTGGAACACAAACACTCTGATTATTATCACATCAGTGTTGTGTGTTGTGAAATAAAACTACTACTACTACTACTGCTACTACTACTACTACTACTACTACTACTATGACTATGACTGCTACTACTATGACTATGACTGCTACTACTACTACTACTACTACTACTACTACTACTAATGCTACTAATGCTGCTCCTATGACTACTACTACTACCACCACCTCTACTGCAACTGTAGTAGTAGTAGCAGTAGCAGTAGTAGTAATAGTAGTAGTAATAGTAGCAGTAGTAGTAGTAGTAGTAGCAGCAGCAGCAGTAATAGTAGTAGTAGTACTATCAGTAGCAGTAGTAGTAGTAATAGTAGCAGCAGCAGCAGTAATAATAGTAGTAGTAGCAGTAGTAGTTGTTGTAGTTGTAGTAGTAATAGCAGTTATAGTAGTAATAGTAGTAATAGTAGCAGTAGTAGCAGTAACAGTAGCAGTAGTAGTAGTGGTAGTAGTGGTAGCAGCAGTAGTAGCTGCAGTTGTAGTAGTAGTAGCAGTTATAGTTATAGTAGTAGTAGTAGTAGTAGTGATAGTAGCGGTAGTAGTAGTAGTGATAGTAGCGGTAGTAGTAGTAGTAATAGTAGTAGTAGCAGTTATAGTAGTAATAGTAGCATTAGTAGTAGTAGTAGTACTAGTAGTAGTACTAGTAGTAGTAGTAGTAGTAAGATAGATTACTATAATATTATAATGGAAACTCTTTTAAAAAGGCATCACTCATGTCTGGTCTATGAAACATTGCGGTTGTGATTTTCTCGTCTGATTGTTGCCATCAGATAAAATGTGTCATTCTTTTCATTATTCCAAAAAACAGAGCTGATCTACACAGTCGTACCGTACAGAGCCTGGATGCCTCTGATGTCGTCTTGGTGCAGTTTAAAGTTGAACCTGTATCCGACGTACACGGGGGCCATGAGGGCGCTCCTGTACTGAGAGTGAGCCAGACCCAGAGCGTGGCCCACCTCATGAGCTGCCACGATACGAAGGTTTGTGCCGAAGTATGAGCCCTCGGTCCAACGCTCGTCTTCATCAAAATGCACCACACCCGACTCTGGGGCCTCTGCGTGAGCTAAGACACGACCTACAGAAGAGCGAGAGGAGACAAGTTCATAAGATTATTTTATATCAGAAACAGGATCCAGTTGTTTGAAAATACAATCTTGGTATTTCAGAAGGCTTGGTGACATCTTCTCAGTGTCTGCATGAAGACAAGACTGTTAAAACCATACTTTGGAACATTCTTGAGTTGTATGCATAATGTGGAAAGTTCTAGGTAAAGCGAGAACATCTCCATGGAGACACAGAAGCAGCTCCTCAGAAAAGTCACATAATGCATTTCTGGCCAATAAAACTGAGGTCTTCTTTGTGGGAAATGAGTCTAGTCCTCTGATGAGGAGAAGAGCTTGGAGTAGACCCACTGCTCCTCCAATTGGACATGAGCCAAATTAACTGGTCCTGGCATCAGTTTCAGAGATACTGGAACAAGTTTTATTTTTTATTTATTTATTATTAATTCAAGTTCATATTTGATTACAAGTCCACAGACCTGGTCCGTCGAAGGGCACGGGGCAGAGAGCATCGTTCTTGTGGAAGGAGATCTTGATGTCTGCACGTCCAAACTCCACCTCTCTGAAATTCAGTGCCGCCACGTCGCTCCAGTATTTAAACGCTGCTCGGAAAGCTGCGCGCACCTCCGCCTGTGGCATGTCTGGAGTCCAGGACATGATCCTGTACGTCAGTGAGCGCTTCCTCCAGCGACCTACAGGGGGAGCGAGAAGAGGGAGTGAGAGTGATGTGAGGCGGACTGTTCTTGTTTCCTTCTTCTAGAGAAAGGAACTAGAGGAAAGGAACTAAAAAGACATATCCAATATCTGTTCTGGAACAAGAATGCAAATAAAATCTGCAAGCAGCATTGAATGGTCCTAGTGGGCCATGTTAATGGGTGGTGCTAACTTATTGTTGTAAAACCAGTAGTTCATTGTGAGTCTGTTCAAAGTTTGTGAGCATCATGTATCTGACCAATGTCTGTGTGCATGTTCATTGAGTTCTCTATTATAATGGAATATAGTTCTTTCAACAGTCATAAGCTCCTGCACTAAGAAACAGCTCTCAGTGAATGGGCTGGTCTGAAGATCATGTCTAATTTGCTGTTTTGAAGAAAATATTTTATTTTTATTTTATTTGAGACAGCACACAATTTTTTGCATTTTACCGTGCTAATTTCCACCTGTAGTCCCTGGACAAATTCATTGATTGATTGTATTTAACTGACCTTGACTATCAACTGTTCATGGAGACCTGTAGCATGTTTTGGGTTGATGGGGGAAACCGGAGCACCCGGAGGAAACCCATCCAGACACGGGGAGAAACATGCAAACTCCACACAGAAAGGCCCGGGTGACCCAGGGATCAAACCCGGAACCTTCTTGCTGTGAGGCATGAGTGCTAGCCACTCAGCCACCGTGCCGCCAAGATGAAAAGTTCGTCACATAACTGTCAAAGAGAAAAGGGAACAGGAGCTTGCAGTATTTTCATCTCCACCAGGTTTTCAACACTTAAGCGATTAATGTTACTGTTGTTGTGTGCTTGGACAGGACATTGTGTCTTTGAGTGTGGAAAAAGTCACTTTACAGCTACATTTGAGAACATTTCAGATTCATTGTTGCACATGCAGATATGTGTGACTCACCCATGACCCTGTACTTGTGCTGTTTCTGGTTGAATGTGTCTTCAATGCCACAGCGCGGACTCCTCATCACCTCCAGAGTTTGTTCGTCCGGTTCTCCAGTAGGGGGCAGCTCGTTCGCCCTCTGAAACACCCTAAACACAACAGTGTTAGAATGGGCTTGGATAATAACACAGTATGTGTTGCATGTGTGGTTTTACTTGAGAGCTTCGATGATGTCTTCCAGGTTGTTGGGGTCGGCTGAATCGGCCATGTAGCCAAACTTATTGAGATAAGCCTGGAGAGGAAAACACTGATAAATTTAGATTTAATGTCTATGAATTACAAAGTAACTGAAGTGGGTCTACTGAATGGAAAGACTGGGCTTTAAGTATTTGTATTTGCATGAAATTATACTTTTCATGTTTTGTTACTTAGTTTTAGAGCACAAAACAATATTGTTACTGGGTATCTGTGCCGTTATTGAAATTTTTCATGGATTGGATATCTGCCGAATATATCGGTTCAGTCGATATCCTATTTTATAAATATACTGCAGTAATAAGATGATTTACTGACCCCAAACCTCTCATAATACTAAACTTGTATTTTTTCACAGCTGTTCTGCAGGTACATTAAATAATGATTTCTAATAACATTTATAAAACACATTTGGATCATTTTTACTGTCTGCTGTTTGTGTTTAAATGAAATATATTTTCTTAAAGATTCTTAAAGTCAAAGTATCAACATCGGTATCATAACCAAAAAGCTGGATTGGTGCATCCCTTCTGAGTTTGGTGGGATAATATTGTTTCTCTGTTGTATCCCCCTGTATAAAATATTCAGTAAAGTGACTCTGTGAAGAAAATACAGGAAGTAAAAACATACTGATGAGGAAAGGAATAAAGATTGTTGTGTGACCAGTCAGTCCTTCCTCTTTTCTCTTACAGTGCTGTAAAAGTGTGCAGATTTTGACTGTTCAGGATAGAATTCCACATTTGTCAAGTTGTAACTTGTAATGCTTCTAATATTACCAGTAGCAGCTGAGGTATTTTTCATTCTATTGTGCAGCCCTGTTTTTCATTTCACTTTGTCATTTGCATTCGTTCAATTAGTGTTTTATTGCTCAAAAATAGTTTGAAAAACATGGATTCTTTCAGTGAGTGTAAACTGCACTCGATTCATTTTTGTATCTGGAGTAATGTGACATACGAGTCTGGCAGAAGCACATTATTCCTTTAATGGGAATTTGTAAAAGGGGGTGGGGGAAGCATTACTTCTCTCCAATCCTTTTCGGAATGATTTATTTTAAATGTATTTTTATTTTATTTTGGGGATTATGGTTGTTATGAGCAATGTAAAAGAATTATCTTTATGTATCTGTTGATTACTGCATAATAATGCAATTTATCATTTAACATTTACTGCATGATAATGCAATTTACCATTTATGGAAATATCCAAGTAAATTTATCTTCATCAATGGTGAAAGATAAAGCCTTGACGCCTTTCCACAGATCTGACCTTGTAGCATGCAGAGAGCACCTTTAACACATAAACATTAAAACCACATGTACCTTTGCTTCCTCCAACTCCGTCCATGGCACCACAGCGGAGAAAGCCCCAGAGACTCCAAGCAGCAGAACCAGCCTCAAAAATCCACAAGAACCCATGGTTTTAGTTCCTCTCCTCTGTCTCTCCTTCACTCTCTCTTGCTCTCCTCTTTTCTCTTCTTCTGCTTTGGGACTCCCCTGTCTTCTTCTCTCCCTCTCCCTCTGCAGACTGTTTGTTCACACAGATCTGGGCCAGTTTAAACCTCGCAGTCGTGACTCAGAGATGACCCATGTGTGAAGAATGAGCTTACAACACACAACAGCACAGGCCAAAACCTCTGCACCATACAGCTGTTTAGAAAGGCCTGTTTATGAGACCGGTAAAAGAAGGGGGATTTTCAACTAGTAGTAGTCATAATAGTAGCAGTAGCAGTAGTAGTAAATTACAAAGGTAAACTTCATTCTCTGCATTTAACCTATCGTATATTGCTGTTGGGGCAACCTGGAGCTGGAGGATTTGACCTGTAGTGCATGGTTTCAGTAGTAGCAGTTGTAGTTGTACTTGTACTTGCAGGAATAGCAGGAATCAGAACTAACAGAAGTCTCAGGAGCAATAATAATAACCCAGTAGCAGAAGTGAAACCATACAGATGTTCAGATGGAAGCAACTTTTATGAGAAGCAGTAAAAACAGAGGTAATTGTAGTAGTAGTTGTTGTTGTTGTATTAATAATAGCTACAGCAGGTGTTCCTATAGTAGCTGCTGCAGTCATAAACTACAGTAAACTACTAATACACTAAATACTTTTACTATTACTGTTACGTTGTTTTGATTGCACTGAGATAAATGGTTTTTTTGGGGGTTTTTTTTTTTGAGCTTATACGTAGTTATTCCATGATCGGTATTGAGAGGACGCACAGTTGTGACTCAAATAAAACTACTACTACTACTACTACTACTACTACTACTACTACTACTACTACTTCCACTGCTGCTACTCCTACTAATACTACTACTAATGTTGCTGCTGTTACTGCTTCTCCTACTAATGCTGCTGGTACTACTACTACTTCTACTACTACTACTACTGCTACTACTACTGCTGCTACTACTACTACTACTACTTCTACTACTACTACTACTACTACTGCCGCTACTGTTACTACTGTTACTACTGTTACTACTACTACCACGACTACTGCTACTGTTATTGCTGCTGTTACTGCTACTACTGCTACTACGACTACTACTGCTACTACTACTATGACTACTACTGCTACTTTTACTACTACTACTGCTACTGTTATTGCTGCTGTTACTGCTACTACGACTACTACTGCTACTACTACTATGACTACTACTGCTACTTTTACTACTACTACTGCTGCTACTGCTGCTGCTACTACTGTTGCCACTACTGCTACTACTACTACTTCTACTACTACTACCACTGATGCTACTGCTACTACTACTACTACTACTGCTACTGCTACTACTACTAATATTACTTCTACTGCTGCTGCTGCTACCACTACTACTGCTGTCACTACTACGACCACCAGTACTACTACGACCACTGCTGCGACTGTTACTGCTGCTGCCACTACTGCTACTTCTATTAGTACTCCCACTACTGCTACAGCCACTGCTGCTATTGCACCTACTACTACAACTGCTACTACTAGTACTGCTACTACTACTACATTTTTGGAGTACTGTATATGTAGTTACTTTCCATCATCATCATCATACAGAGAGAGTGTGTACATTGACACAGAGTTGTGACGGAGATAAAGCGAGTGCACAGAGGCGGACTGTGTGTTTGTGCCAATCGGACAGAAATAACTGAAACCACAGCTCACACCCGACCTCCAGATTCCCCTGTTCACCCACGCGCCAACAAACTTCAGTGGGCTCAGATACACTCATGTCTGCACGGGGAGTCTGTCAAATGAACCAGATGCCCTTCCTACAAACAGATAAAAATGTATTAGAAGTGAAGTGTCTTGCTTATGGACATAACAACACACTACAAATAGTATTTCATTGTGTTAATTAGAGATTTATGCAGAAAAACATGTGTAACTGTGTAACTTTTCTGTAGGCATCTCCATGGAAACCGGCTGCAAGTGACACCATCAGGCCAAGATACAGGTCAGATCTGTGGAGACTTATTTTGTTAGTGATATAAACAGCTGTAACTGAATAAATGACTCTCAATAAAGGGGTTGTGGGTTTGACTCCTGCTCTCCCTGGAGTGTGCATTTCCTACCTGTGTTATTGCGGCAGAGTGGTTATCCTGTCTCAGTAAGTAGGTTGTGGGTTAGATTCCACTTTCACCCACTCACGGCAGGATGGATCCCGATAAAGAACCCACATCTGTTCTCAACATGTGTCGATGAGCAAAGCATTATGGGTAACAGATGTTTGTAAGGACACTGCTCATAAACTCATGCTTTGTGTAAAGGCTCCTTGTATTTTCCAATAGCAGAAAAAAGTTGTGTTTAAACTTCTGTATTTAAACCTACTCTATAAAAGTGAGTCTCTTGCATTGGTGTAAAGATGCACTGTGTAACTTTTCTGCTGGGGGATCTCATCTCCATGGTGATGTTACTGCTTTACCTGGAATGTTGCACACTATGGCATCAGACCTAACTTTCTTGCATTTTATTCATAAAAAAAAAAAAAAAAAAAACATAATAAAACAATCATTCCAACAGTGAACAGGGTGGCCTCTCCACAGATCTGACCTGGAGAAATCATCTGCTTGTGTCCATAGTGATATATAAGGCAAGTTTATTGTTTTACTCAAAAACATTCCAGGGAAAGCAATAACATCAGCACGGACACAATCAGTTGGACCCTTCAGCAGAAAAGTTACATAGTGCACCTTTACAGAAGCAGATAAAGTGCTGGTGGTTGCAGTTATCTTAAAGAGCATTCATAACAGTACAAGTAGTAGTAGCAGTACTTGTGGTTCTCATCAATCGATCAAACTTTATTTATAGAGTGCTTTTCATGCAAAAAAAAAAAAAAAAAAAAAAAAAAAAAACCCAACCCAAAGCGCTTTACAGTGATTAAAAACAATCCCACATCACAAAAACTCTGGGTGTCTATTGTTCTCAAAGTGTACACAGCACACTTTGTAAAGCTCCAAGTCTCTCTGAGATGTTCTCCATACTGCGCTCCAAGGCCAAAGTCCCATCCAGTCTGCGATCAATGACCGTTAACTTTTCCATGATGTTTTCCAACATGCGGTTTGAGGCAGCCCAACTTTCTCAAATAGTGCTCATAGTCACAGTTAATGAGGTCATAGTTTTACTTCCACTTTCAGTTAGACCAGACAGCCAAGTGGGGAGCTGAAGAGCTGCCTCAGTAATCGGAACTTTTTGAAAAATCAGGTCATGGTTCTTATTAGGTAGATGTCTTCTCATTGTAGTATCTTGTAGTGGTACCGTATATAATGTAGGTATGTAGAATAGAAAAAAGAGTTAATAGTGTCATTGTAAAAGTAGTAATAGTAGTAACAGTGTTAAGAAGGTATAGCCAAGACTAGTACATGGCTGTGGTAGGCTATGGCACTATTGTTTTCAGCATCACTAATTGGCACAGCAATAGTAAAAGTAGCAGCAGTAGCCTAAGTACTGGTGATAATTGTAGTAGTAGTAGTAATAGTAGTAGTAGTAGTAGTAGTAGTTTTGGACATATTGATATCAATGTTATAAAATGCAGCCTATTAATCAAGGGCTTTTCAACATTTAAAACATATGATCCCGTATTTTGTTCTAATTTTTGCATCATTATGGCAACGGTCCTTGTTCATCATTCTGAAGCTTGACATTGGTTCAATAATAGCATGAAATGAGGAACTAATGGTCTCTCTCTGCACTAAACTTGCCTTTTTTGGACATTGTTATAAGACTTTTTAAATGATTAATAATGCGGTTGATGCACAAACCACAAAATGCTTAAAATCTAAATCAAAAATAGTACGAGGAACTTCTGGTCAATTTTTGGTTTATGTTTTGGTGAATAATGATGAGCTTTTATGTTTAGTTCTTACCACCACAGTGACAAATCCGATTATCTGCTGACACTGTCCACTAACGCGACTCATCTCCAGCTGCTTCCTTTGGGAATACTGGAAATGAACCAAAACTGCTGTGAGGCCGAAGAAAGAGGAAAGAGATAGAGAGATGACAGGATGCAGTGAAGAACAGAGAGGAGAGAGCTTGACAATAAATCAACCACAAACATACTCAGCAACTTAGGTGTTTTTGTTGATATCAGTGTACATCAGCCAAGCTCAAACATGGCCGTCCAATCAGATTTGTTTATTTCAGTGACGCACGTGAAATGAAGGAGCTCATTGGTCACACATATTTTGAATAAAGTCAAATTTCTCTCACCTCTGATGAACAGTTTACTGCTTTGCTCATTGATTCTGCAGAAATGGGTGATGTTTTTCAGTCCCCTATTGATATTTTTTTCCTTTCTGTTTTCCTCATGAGCAGCCATATTTGTTTTGATGCGGATGCTTTCCCTTGATTTGCTAATCCACTTGTCAATCACACCCATCTGAATTCAGGGAGATTCACCAATGACCAGACTCGCAGCTTTTTAAAGTACAGATTCCAGGCCTCAGCAGCACCTCAGAGCAGCTCATAAGTTTCAGAAGTCCTATGTAGTGAATGAAAATGCGTTGAATTGGACAGTGTTTTTGAGCATCTTAAACTGTTAGACTAGAAAAGAAAGAACTCAAGGTACTTTATTGTTCTCATATTTGGAAATTTGCCCTCTGCATTTAATCCATCCTTCAGTGCTGCTGGGGCACCTCCTCAAGAGTAGTGGGCAGCACATGGCGCCCCGGGACCCATCTTGAGCTAGTCTTGCTCAGGACTACCTTCTCTGCAGGATTTCAACTGTTGCAGATGTTTAGGTTGATGAGGGAAACCGCAGTGCCCAAAGCAAACCCACCCAGACACAGGGAGAACATACAAACCCCACACAGAAAGGCCACTCTGTACAGTGACTAAGTGGCCAGCAGTGGTTTGTCATAGAATCAAAGACCATAACTCCACCAGTGAAGGATCAAATTTTTTCCATTAAAGGAACACAGAGTCTGCTGACACTGTCCACTAACACAACTCATCTCCAGCTGCTTCCTATGTGTATTGTAATAGCCTGGATAGCAACCTTAGCAGTTTCAGAGGAACAGAGTCAAGTTGAGCCAAT